CGCAGTCGGTTAAGTGTACGACTTCAGCCAGGTCATGATCTCGCGGTCCGTGAGTTCGAGCCCCATATCAGGCTCTGGGCTGATGGCTCGGAGCCTGGAGCCTGTTTCCGATTCTGTGTCTCCCTCTCTCTCTGCCCCTCCCCCGTTCATGCTCTGTCTCTCTCTGTCCCAAAAATAAATAAAAAACGTTGAAAAAGAAAAAGAGTTGGACACAGAAACTTTTTATCTGGATGAAATCCCAATAGTTCACTTTTGCTTTTGTTTCTTTTGCCTCCAGAGTCATATCTAGAATGAAGCTGCTGTGCCCAAGATCAAAGAGGTTGCTGCCTAGGTTCTCCTATAGGATTACAATGGTTTCAGGTCTCACATCTAGGTTTTTCACTTACTTTTAATTTATTATTGTGTATGGTATAAGAAAGTGGTCCAGTTTCATTCTTTTGCATGTTGCTGTCCAGTTTTCCCAACACCACTTGTTGAAAAGAGTGTCTTTTTTCCACTGGATATTCTTTCCTACATTGAAGATTAGTTGACCATATAGTTGTGGGTCTATTTCTGCATTCTCTATTCTGTTCCATTGATCTATGTGCCTATTTTTGTGCCAGTACTGTACCATCTTGATCACTACAGCTTTGTAATATAACTCGAAGTCTGGAATTGTGATGCCTCCAGCTTTGCTTTTCTTTTTCAAGACCACTTTGGCTAACTGGGGTCTTTTGTGGTTCCACACAGGTTTCAGAATTGTTTGTTCTAGCTCTGTTGGTGTTTTGATAGGGATTGCATTAAACCTGTAGGTTACTTTGATTGTATAGACATTTTAACACTACTTGCTCATTCAGTCCATGAGTCTGGAATTTTTTCCCTTTATTTGTGTCATCTTTAATTTATTTCAAAAGTGTTCTATAGTTTTCAATGTACAGATCTTTTACTTCTTTGGCTATGTTTATTCCTAGGTATCTTATGGTTGATTGTAAATGGAATCAATTCCTTGATTTCTCTCTGCTGTTGCATTATTGTTGTATGGAAATGCAACATAGTTCTGTACAATGATTTTGTATCCTGTGACTTCCCTGAATTCATGTATCAGTGCTAGCAATTTTTTGGTGGTGTCTTTCGGGTTTTCTACATAGAGTATCATGTCATCTGCAAATAGTGAAAGTTTAACTTCTTCCTTGGTTATTTGGATGTCTTTGACTTCTTTTGGTTGTCAGATTGCAGAGTCTACTACTTCCAATACTATGTTAAATAACAGTGGTGAGAGTGGACATCTCTGTCTTGTTCCTGACCGTAGAGGAAAAGTTCTGTTTTTCCTCATTGAGGATGATATTACCTGTGGGTCTTTTGTATATGGCCTTTATGATGTTGAGGTATATTCCCTCTATCCCTACTTTGTTGAGGGTTTATATCAAGAATCAATGCTATACTTTGTCAAATGCTTTTTCTGCATCTATTGAGAGGATCATATGGTTCTTATCCTTTCTTTTGTTAATGTGGTATACCACATTGATTGATTTGTGAATATTGAACCACCATGCAGCCTAGAAATAAACCCCACTTGATTGTGTTGAATGATTTTTTTAATGCGTGGTTGGATTTGATTTGCTAGTACCTTGTTGAGAATTTTTGCATCCATGTCCTCTTTTATTATTTTTTTTAAATTTCATTTAGATCCAAGTTTGTTAGCATATAGTGTGATAACAGATACAGGATTAGAACCCAGAGATTCATCACTTGCATATAACACCCAGTGCTCATCGTAACGTGCCCTCCTTAAGGCATCGCACATCACCCATCACCCATGTAGTCCATCCCCCCATCCAACAACCCTCCAGCAACCCTCAGTTTGTTCTCTGTATTTAAGAGTCTCTTATGGTTTATCTCCCTCTCTGTTTTTAATTTTCTTTCTCGTTCGCTTTGTTCACCTGCTTTGTTTCTTAAATTCTACATATGAGTGAGATGGAACCAGAATGTGTATTACTAAGCAAAATAAGGTCAGTCAGCAAAAGACAAATACCACATGATCTCTTACTTCCTTTAGTGAAGAAGACAACTTTTCATTGTTGGTGTTCTTTGGGAATTATGTTCATCTGACATTGGTTCATGTTGAAATTATAGCTCAACACATTGTACTTTCTTTTAGGCATGAGAGGATGTTGTGAATTTGCCCTTCCCAACTAGTGGTTCAGAGATTTAAGATTATCTTATGCAAAACTCAAATATAAAGAAAGGTCATGAATATTATAAAATGGCCTGATTTCTCAAATGGAGTGTTAAAAAAAAATCTTGCACTTTAGTTTAGAAACAACTGTATTCCACCCTTTAATTTTATCAATGTATTCACCTTTTAAAATTTATTTTTGAAGTAGTTGTAACCTTGCTCAAATTGAAATGGAATAAATGTTAAATTAACAAATATTTGTTTTTTAAAAATTGAAGAAGGTTGGAGACGTGGGGCCCCCAGTTGTGTCTCAAGTGAATGAAATCTGTTACATTTTGAAAGATGATGTCATAGAATTTTAAAATTTAAATTTTACTTTCAGATGTAAAATACTTAAAAGAAGAGGATGCTAATCGCAAGACATTCACCGTCAGCAGCACACTGGATTTCCGAGTGGACCGGAGCGACGATGGTGTGGCTGTAATCTGCAGAGTAGACCACGAATCCCTCAATGCCACCCCTCAGGTGGCCATGCAGGTGCTAGAAATACACTGTAAGTAAATGCTGCTCCCTTCCCAATGATAGCAGAAGTAACTCTCTTCATCTACATTTAAAATAATTTCAAAATGTCCTCACATTACCACACAGGTGCAGCAAAATCTACAGCAAAATGAAATATGACTATCCTCACTGGTATTAATCACATTCAGAGGAAAGTAGTGCTTGCCAGAGTATCATTCTTGACAAGGAAGAGAAATAAAGAAAATATCCTAAGGTTAAAACTTCTAATTCTCTTCCACACGGTGACTTGATGTAAGCAGTAGTCATTTTGGCAGTCAATTAGGGTTGGGAATCAGAGAGAGCCTTGATGGACCTAACTGTATGAAAGTAATTTGGTGAATCATGAGCATGTCATGCTATCTGTGCTTTTAACATGAGACAATGTTTACTTCTATAGGAGATAATCTACATTTTTATAAATACAGGGGCTTATCCATTATGGTCTCTTCATCAACATCATGAGTACTCACAAGTGATAGGAACAACACTAATTGGATGACTTCAATGGGCAGGGAGCAGTGCTGTTTTGTTGGCATTATTTCATCTCATGGCTCATGTTAGGACATCAGCATAAAAACCTGATGATGATTAATTACTCTCTTTAGTCACAGTTGATGGATGAGGACACTGAAGATTATAGTGGTTGAGTCACTTGGCCAAGCTCACACAACTAGCAAATGGTAGACTTGTAATCATGACATTTTTAGTAGTTAGCATGGCATTTAGAATGTAACAGGTGATGTATAAATATTTATCTACATGAAGATGAATCAACTGAGATTATAGGAAAAAGTCAAAAAAAGTAGAGCCCAGAGGATTATATTTCTGAAGTGTATTACCTCGTTTTTTTTTTTAAATATTGAAAAGTTTTTGTTTGCTTTTACTATCTGTGATAAAGTTATAGTTTGTGTTTAGAATTTGTGTGTGATATAAGATTATACTAAATCCTAAAATGTTAAATCTAAAAGCTAGTCTTTTAATAGACCTCATGGGATTTTGTTTTTACTTATTTATTCAACAAGAACTTATTGGGTCCCTACTATGAAACAGGCATTGTTTTGGGCACCGAGGTTACATAAGTGACCAAAAAGAATAACATTAACAAAACAAGGTAAGATTGTCTTCATGTGTCAGAATTACCACTGCCAGCAACAAACTCCAGTTCTCTTACAGCATCCATTCTAGGTGGGAATGACAGAAAAGCAAAATAAATAAAAACAACATATAGCATTCTATGTATTAAGTGCCGTGGGGAAAAAATAGAGCAGAGGTGATGAGGAGTGCAATCTGAGAAATGGGAATGGATATATATATATATATATATATATATATATATATACACACACACATATATATATACATATACATACACACATGCATATATACAATGTGTTTATATGTAAATATATATTATATGTTATATTAAGTTATATTATTATATATCATAAATATATATTTATATGTAAATATATGTTGTTTATATTATACATGTATTTAAATGGAAAAAAATATATGTATATATATATAAAATACAGAGGGAAGAGCAAGTACAAAGGCCCTGAGGTAGGAGCATATGTGTTGTTTTTGTGTTTCTGGAAACAGCAAGGATACCAGTAAGATCAGGATAGAGTGGAAAACTAGAGAGTATTTATGAGAGATCAAGGAAGTACCAGGAGGACCAGGCTTTTTTTTCACTTTTTAATAAAAAATGTCAACCTGATTATGATTTTTAATTATCACCCACTGTCTTAATTATTCCTAGTTTACTAGTAACGGAAATTATCATAACATTTTAAATACTTTCAATTATATTAAGGTATTTTCATTAATTTTTCTCCTGTTACTGAAACAGATTCCACAACAAGCATATTTTAGAGCCCAAACTGAGATTATCTTCAAATTTCAGCATTTATTTGCAGTGACACGTTGGAACAATTACTGAAACTTCTTGAGCTTCGATTATAAATTAGGAAATTAGGTTCTTCAAGGATCAAGCTAGACAATATTTTTATGGCATTTAATGAGCTTTCTATAAATGCCAGTTGCCTTAGTTAGTTCAGGCTGCTGTAACAAATATACCCATAGACTGGGTGGTAATATAAGCAAAAGTTTATTTCTCAGTTTTGGAGGCTGGAAATCCAAGATCAAGGAGCAGGTAAGGGGCCTTGTCGTGGTTCATAGATGTTTGTCTTCTCTCTGTGTCTGCACATGGCAGATGGAGCTAAGGAGCTCTCTGGATTTTTGTTGTTGTTGTTGTTGTTGTTGTTGTTGTTGTTGTTGTTGTTTTTGGTAAGGTCACTAAACCCAGTCATAACCTTCCAACCACCACCACCTCCTAATCGTCACATTGGGGATTAGGTTTCAACATATGAATTTTGGAGGGACATAAACATTCAGCCTATAGTACCTTCTGTTTTCTAGTCTTATTTCATCAATATGTCTCTAAATATATGGAAGATTATGGGGCACCTGGGTGACTTGGTTAAGCGTCTGACTTCGGCTCAGGTCACAATCTCGCGGTCCGTGAGTTCGAGCCCTGCGTCAGGCTCTGTGCTGACAGCTCGGAGCCTGGAGCCTGCTTCGGATTCCGTGTCTCCCTCTCTCTCTGACCTTTCCCCATTCATGCTCTGTCTCTCTCTGTCTCAAAAATAAATAAACGTTAAAAAAATTAAACTTGTGGAAGATTATATAATTTGCTATGTCGAGAGGACCCAGGTTATCAGCATCTTGATTTAAACTTTTTTCATTTTTATATAAACCAAAGTAAGAATTTAAAAATAATATTTGATTACTAGTTTAAGTATAATTTTTAACATAAAATAAAAGAAAATAATAAAAATTAAGTCATAAAAATATGAAAGTTCATCAGTCCAAGATTAATCACTGAAACCCACCAAGAGTGAAGCAACATCAGATATACTTAGTTTGCTATGGCGAAGAAGGTCATACCACATGAATCTCTGAGTGCTGGTAAAAAAACAGTATGAATAGGCTTGTTAGAGGATTTGGGTTTGTCCTGAATATTCTAAAGAGGGCTCTGGATTGAATGCTGTCAAGATTGGGGACACATTGTGGATGTATATGTTGATACCTTTTACCTGGAAAGCAGACATTAAAGCAGAACTAGATTTGCTGTTATAAAGATGCAGCAGTTAATTTTTTTGTGGTTGCTGAGTGTCCTGGTCTCTGTCTTATTTCAGACTTAAAATGGAATAGACTTGCCTTTGTCTTCTTATACCCCATAGTCACAGAGCAGCTCTAGCTGATTATTGTTTCGATTCTAGAAAATTGTTTATGTTTGTTGAGAATATTTCAGGCTAGCTGTCAGATGCCAGTTGTTAGCTGCCAAAGTCATTTTCACTTTTTTGGGAGTCTAAAATGGAGCTATTATATATATACTTCCCGGGCATTTTTTGCTGTTCACTGTATTTCAATGTGCATTATTAAGCGAACTTCATGGAGGAAGGCAATTGAATTCCCTCATTTTTTAGAACATTTTACATGAAAAATGTTACACTAGCTGCCCAATTAAAAATAGCAACTCATTTTATCATGGTTTAATATGTAAGTGGCTGAAGGCAGAGACCGTATCTATTTAAATTATATATTTTAGCATCTAGCACACCACCACTCAAGTATGTGAAGGTAATTAAAACTAACTGATGATAACGCTGAATGTTCCTTTAGGGATGCAGAACATTCCCCAGAGATGAAACAAGGAGTGGAGAGCAGACAGGGGGCATTTAGCAATAGTTTGCATTTAAATTAGAGTACATTGAGCTAATTGGGTGTGGTCTTCATGGCTCTGCATAGGTACACATGTGCAATATGTGATGTAAGCAGGGGAAAATAGAAAGAATTGGAAAAGGAAGAAGGTGGTTAGCCTAGAATTTGTGGAACATAAATTTAGAATTTCCACATTGTTATACAATGGTCCTATCATGAATAACCACAAAGATTGGCTCAAATGGAGTCCCAGAGTAAAAGAGCTGCCACTGTTTCTGGGGTGAGTGACCAGAGTAAAAGTATATCCTACAATAATGGAAAGCTGAGACTATGCATGAAATTAAAATCCTGTGAAAAGGCAGGTTTGATAAGAAATTAGAAAGGAGAGGAGAGCCTGGGTGGCTCCAGCTTCAGCTCTGGTCATGATCGCATGGTTCACCAGTTTGAGTCCTACATCTGGCTCTGTGCTGACACCTGAGCCTGGAGCCTGCTTCAGATTCTGTCTCCCTCTCTCTGCCCCTCCCCTGCTCATGCACTGTTTCTGTCTCTCTCTCAAAAAAAATAAACATTAAAAAATAATTTTAAAAATCGGGAGAGTTAAACACATAGTTGCAAGAGCAAAAAATAGATAATAGGAGGAATTGTATTCCTAGGGCTATGTTTTAATTCCATAACCCAGTGATTCGCAAGTTAGAAGGACTCGGCCTATAAAGTATGTCACAGCAACATTCATTTCTTTATAAAATATTAATCCTAAATTTTAATGCCACTATGAAGGAAGATAGTTTCTTTAAACATAAAATTTAAGAAACTGTAGACTTTCACTGTGAACCACAAACGCCTGCAAATTTCACACAACAGATAACAGCGTACTTTGTACCTGAGCTGTGGAAAAGCGACTCTCTTTTTTTACAGATGGAAATTCTAATTCATATTTCTATTTTTATGCAGATCTTGGAAAACAATAACTTTTTATTTGTCTGATTTAATTTTTAGAAGAGCAGATTGTATAAGTCAGATTTTATGTAATTCTCAATAAGAATAATGTATCTTCACGAACAGAAAGAAATATGCACAAAACACAGAAAAGAAGAAAATAACTGAACATTCATTTTCTGTACGTGACACTGACAAAATTTCATAAAAAAGCAGCTGTTATTGAAAAGGAGAAAAATAAGCAACAGATTAGTAAAGTATTTCAGAATTGTGAATGCTATGAGAAAGCATTTTAGTACTGTGGCATTGAACTGCCCATATGGATAAATA